AAAAAATCAACCAATAGCTGGGGATTTAGCTCAGTGGTTCTGCCGCCTGCCTTGAAAGCGCAAGGTCCCAAGTTCGATCCCTGGTACCAAAACAAAACAAAACAAAACCCCAAGAAATCAACCAATAACAAATGCTGGTGGGGCTGTGAGGAAAAAGGAACCCTTCTCCACTGCTGGTGGGAGTGCAGACTGGTGCAACCTCTGTGGAAATCAGTATGGAAATTCCTCAAAGAACTAAAACTTGAGTTTCTATTTGACCCAGCTATTCCCCTGCTGGGCATCTTCCCAAAAGAATTAAAAGCATCATACCACAGTGATATATGCACACCCATATTTCAGAATATGTGCTGCCAAAGATAGCACAGCACACACATATTTATAGGGGCACAGTCTGTAATAGCTAACCTTGGAAATGGCCTAAATGCCCATCAATCGATGAATGGATAAAGAAGATGTGGGTTTTTTATACAATGGAGTACTACTCTGGCATAAAGAAGGACAAACTTGAGACATTTTTAGAAATGGATGCACTCTGAGATCATACTCTAAAGTGAAATAAATCAGACACACGTTTAAATACCACATTGTTTCTCTGGTGTGAGAAACTGAAAGTGGAAATGAGGACCAAAATGTATAATAATTATTGGGAAATGGGCAGAAAATGTTTGAATGAGAAGGGGAACAAGGAAGGGAGGAGGGGGAAGGGAAAGAAGGGACAAGGAAAAAACAAAGAAGGAGAAAGTGGAAACAAAGCTTTTGTGAATAAGGAGGGGAAGAGGGGTAGAAAGGAGGAATGGGAACAAAAGAAGCAACCCACCCTTACTGAAAATCCTTGTAGGCTTGCTATGTGACTTGCTTCTCCATTTGATCCCCATTTAATCAATATTACCTGGGTGACTGTACTTGCAATCTTATTGGTTGGTCATGGTTTTGTCCCACCTCATGCCCACCTTGTAAATTTCCACTGGGTCTTATAGTTTTGTCCCACTTTGTACCTGCCTCACCACATGGCTTCGCTGGATAAAACATCCTTGAAAAGTGGGGTGAGTGGGCAACCCACTCTCCGGTCCCCTCTTCTGTCTCTCTTAGGCAGAAGCTTTATTTCTCCCAATAAATTTTTCCACTCTTAAAAAAAAAAAGAAGCAGCAGCAGCAAGCTAGACCATATACAGGTTCAAATTCCCTATGATGAATGTTATCACTATGTATATCTAAAATGTACCAGTGAAGGTTTTGCTTAAAAAAAAAAAAGAAACCACCTGGACTTGCAATGACCTGGCCTGGTCCACCTATGTGGCCTTATACCCTGGTACTGGACAGTCACGGCTCACTCCAGCTGCTCAGTCTACCTTGCTCAGGCCTGTGCCTATCTTTACTGTTACCATACCCACTAGTGTGGGTGTTTTCCTGGGGAATGAACCCAGGGTCTTTGTACTGAGCTACATCCTCAGCCCTTTTTTATTTTTTGTTTTGTACGGTTTTTTTTTTTGGTACCAGGGATCGAACTGGGTCTTTGCGCTTGTGAGACAGGCATCGGAACCACTGAGCTAAATCCCCAGCCCTGTTTTGTTTGATTTTTTGGTACTGGGGATGGAACTTGGGACCTTGCGGTTGCAAGGCAGGCAGCGGAGGAATCACTGAGCTAAATCCTTGGCCCAGCCCTTTTTTATTTTGAGACAAGGTCTGGCTAAGTTGGCCAGGGTGGGCTTGAGCTTTTGGTCTCCCGGCCTCTGCC